GACGCAACATAGTTCTTTTTGAAGCAGTAGATAGAATAGAGATTAAGCTTGTTATAGATACGTAAAAAAAGTAGATTTTAATCCTAGTAATAAACTGTATTTGTTTTTGCGTTGTAAAAATGAAGTGAGAAATACTCGCTGCACAGTGTAAACATTAATTGGTGTTGATTCAAATGTTAAGATTTACCTACTCTTTGAATATCTACAGTAAACTATGATCCTAATCCATCAATTGCTTTAAAGAAAAACAAATTTCAACAACTGAGTGAAAAGTTATTAACAAATGAGCAGGTGGTGTGTACAACTGGTGTCTACAATACATCAAACATATTTTCCCGACAAGAAATATTCAAACACTTCCGAAGAATCTGGTTGTTCTCATTAGGGCTAGTAATACCCAAACTGAAATTATGGGCATTCTCAAACTGCGCAGCAAGTGTCTGAGGTTTTCCAAAATGTTTAATATAATTTTACCACCTTCTTTAAGCGCCGGAATAGGCTTTTGAGATTGGTTTTTTTTTTTTTTAATTTTGTTAAATCCTCAATTCGGTGTGTAACTCTTTATTTTCAAAAAAATGTGCCCTCATGGTTTAATCCTGCCAAATAACGTTCATCATATGTTCTTTTATAGGCACATTTTGCAGACGGATCAAGAGTTGATGATCGTTCTTTTATAATTCAATTCGATTTTACCGTGCATCTTGGACCTAAAGCTGCTGTTGCTTCGACTATAGAAGAAGTTAATTTAATAACATTATCAATGACATCTATGGTTTGGAAATCAATACATATTATAATCGAGGTTACATTCCATAGATGGTCGATATTGATCCCAATCAGCTCTATGCTTATTGAAAGAAGATGGGGTTAGAAATTATTTCTGGAGATAATTCAAAATCTATTGGAAGGTGATCACAGCTGAAGTCAGTATAGGTAACCAATTGACTACAAAGTTTCAATAAGGGTTTAATAGTTGAAGGATTTTTGCTGAAGAAAAGCAAGTTGAGCTGTTTGGATATTGATTAGGGTAAAATCCTGCAGAACAATCATCAGATAATATTTTACCATTAAAATTGCTTTGAGCATTATTCCATTAGCAATATGTTGCATTAAAATCACCAATATGAGAAAAATGGGGTGATAAGAAACAAACGAGGTCACAAGAAGCTCCCGAGTTTCGTAACTCTGTCAAATATTAATGGATTTCGTTAGTTTTTTTGTATTTTGTAATCAAAATCATTAATTTATGTGTGCAAAATATTAGCTTATTAAAGCTTTAGCAGGAAAATAAAATAAATGTTAAATTAAATTATTAAGAGAAAACATTCAAATTGAAATGAAAAAAAAAAATATCAACAAAAAAATGTATGGGGCCTCCCATAGCTCAGTCTTTTGATTGGGTTCGACTCCCGGGTTGAAAAATGTTCGACATCTGGTATAGAGTATGACTGCACTTGCCACATAACAATACTAATGTATTGTTACGAAACAGTCTTAGAAAGCTTTCAATTAACAAGTGTGGAACTGCTCAAAGAACATTATGTTTAATCCACTAAAAGTCAAATACTGCATCGATTTGCAAGCATCTAATTATATTTTTGTTTATTTCAATAGTGTGGAATGGTCTGATAGGACAGGTTTAAAAACCTTAAGTTGAATGGGCCATAAACCGTTAAAAAGATACAAGCACTTGAAAAAAAAATCAAATCGAGTGAAAATTTTCAAAAACACGAACCAAGACAATCCTTCAGACTTGTCGGATTCTCGGACTATTGTTGTCCATAGTTTATGAATACTTCAGAACCACGATAAAGCTTGTAATATTGCTTGCAATGAGTGCCTTCTCTCATCCATTTTTCCTACAAATGACACTTAAATGTGCTCCACTATAACTAACACCACCCATTAACCACCAACGTTAAACTGAAACAATCATCAAAACAAAAACGACACGCTCTTGAAATATCCCAAAGATAAATAAGCTGAGGTGCTACTTGTTCGCAAAGCGTACAACGTTGCAGATCGATGTTAACGCCACATAGCTGCCAAAGCAGTTTGAGTACCGCACTTCAAACCTTTCCAAGAGACATCACTCTGATCATATTCTGTCAGAGCACAGAATACCACTCACTCTCTCGGGAAATTGCCACTTTAATTAATAACCTAGTAGCTCAAGTTGCAAACGGAACACGCTACGACAACGTACAAATATTATACTATCATACACCGACCGGCCACACTCGGACGTCCTATCGCGATCACGATTCGCTGAGCACTAAAAGTCGACCAAACCGATTTTCGTCATTTCACACACGCGGGATCAGATGCCGGGGAGGACGTAGGAGTCCTCGGCGCGGTACCCATCGGGCGACGTTCATGGCCCAGCGAGCATACGGGGGTATAGAACGCAACGAAGGAACACTGTCACAGCCGGCGTGACAAGCAAAGCCGGCAGTGGCGAGCATAATCTACGACGACACAATCATCATCATCATGATCATCAGTGGAATTTTCAACGCGCAACACATTTTCAACTTGGCGCGTGAGAATGCGCATGGTATTGCTCAGTTTTTGAAGATGACACAAAAGGTGAAATGCAAAGCAAATATAAATGCAAAATTCCAAAAGTATCAACTTTTCTGTGATGCACTTCGTCTCGTTGAGCATTTACATTTGAGAAAACAATTGCATTCTATATGTAAAATTATTACTCATAGGACTATGTTAAGAAATCATTCCACATATTTTATAAATATAGATACTAGAATTGAGGCTTTCTGCGGTGTGGTTATCAGTACTGTTGTACAAAATACTAGCTAAATTGTTGGTTTTCAGATCGGCATTCAACCTGATATCTGGACTAGGTTTTACTTTTCAGCTTCCATAGGATTGACGAATTTATTAAATTAAATTCATGTTCCAGTACTAACCAGTACATTGGTCCATCTTCACCCAAATGAAGTAATTTACTTCAATTCAAAATCAACTACATCAACCCGCTTCTGAAGTGGTGACTGAGAATCGAACATCAAAACATTCCCTCTTAAATGTCATTAGGTCATAACAACTGATAACAAGCACCGCCTTTATACTAGCTCGACGAGTATGTTTTACTTGGATTCATATTGCCGCCAATGTTATTTTTTGTAGAATTCAATTCCTTCATCTTTTTATTTGATTACTCTCCTGTATGTAGTGTGGAGTCATACTCTTCTAATTTTAATAAATAAATTTAAAATCGAAGAAATGATAAAACGCTTTAAATCCTCCCAATGGTTTATCACGAATTGCATTGTTTAGATATGAACTTTTGATTAACAATGCATTTCACTCATATTATTTTGTTTGAATAACTTAGCTTAGTTTAGACTGCGCATATCAATGGTTGTTGCTCCGTGATTGATCTGAACCAGTGAAATTTCACAATGAATCAACTGAATGACTGACTGGGAGAGGTCGTTCATTCTAACTGTTCAACTTTCAGAGACACCAAATATTTAAGAATCAATAACGGCGCCGGCCACATTCTTGCAATCAGGTGGGAATGAGAAGGAAATGGTAATGCGTGATCTTTGCTAAATTAGAGGCTGAGTACACCTCTACATTCCTACAAAGATCACTGGGAGAATATTTTGTTAGAGGTTTAGGTTTGTATGATCTGGATTCATCTTGATAAGTAATGTCATGTTTCTGAAAAATAAAATATGTGTAAAAAATCAGTGTAATCATGCATTAAAATATTCTTGGAACTCCCTACTGGAACCAGCCTTCCTGTAAAAGTATACATATAAATCTAATGACTTTTCATCATCGAAGAGCTGAAAATAAACTTAAATAATTTGAATAAATGAATCCAGCCGGAAGGACGGCTGACAAAAGTGAATCTAATGTTCTTACGTCTGAAGAGCTGAAAATAAACTTATATAATTGAAAACAATAGATTCAGCCTGAACTATGGCTGAAAATAGTACATTTGCATTAGAAAAGCTGTAAATCTAGACACTGCAAGAATAATCTTGATTGCAGCTTCTATTGTTACACAAAAGTATCACACTCGCGCGAACAATACTCCGTACGAAGGTCACGGATCCCAAACACATACTCCCATCATTGAACTTGTTTTCCTATATGTTTGCGAACACACTACCTCTGCGCGCACTTTTGTGTGACTCATCACAGCAAACGTATAATAAATCATGCAGATTCGATGCCATATCGGGCAACGAATGCGAGAGCACACCAATCTGCAAAAGCAAAAAAAAACCATTCCTATTTTCATGAACAAAAAATCACGACAACGCGTTGTCATGATTTGATTCCCATAAACATTGATTTAATAAATCGAACTTTCGTGAAAAAAGTCACAATTCCATGAACTAAATTCATGAGTGCTCAGCACCACAAACCATTTCGTAACGCATAAAAAAATAATGATACGTTTAGTGACTTCGTAAACCCAGAAAGTGGTTTTGATTCTGCTTTCGTGAACGTTGTTCATGAATGGATGATGGGACTGTCATTTTAAAAATAAACAAATATATGTATGAAGAAACAGCAACGGTAGTTGAGATTTACTTAAACTCATAAACGATTCCTCGAGATACATCCTCATTAGCGGCGCCGGTGGTGTAGTGGTGAGCTTGATTACCTGTCACCTGGTAATCAGCTTGGGAGCTGCCTCCCTGGCGTCGGTAGCATTAGTGCTCAGCACGGAAAACAAGATCGACGGAAAACAAATCAAGTAAAAAAAATTCCTTAAAAAAATCGTTACCACCCTACTGGATAAGCCTTAATCCGCATAAAATCGACGTTTAAATAACTTGTTTACATTTAGCGTATAGGATCTTTTCACAATATTTCCAGTGAACATTTGGTATCAAAATAGGTTATATCATGGAATATGGCCTGTAGTGTGAACGGATTGTAAGTGAATAAAACCATACACAATGCGGTTGATCGCAAGATCAAATATATATTAATTTACAGTATTCAAAGTATCATGATTTCAATATACTAAACCTACAGATTACAACATTGCCCATTTGTAAAGTATCATATATATAGTTAGTCACGTCAAAATCATGTTGCTGAAGTTCACAACACAACCTCCCGCAACATTAATTTATGGTCTCTGGGTTGATTTCATGGATTATCCATTGTGCATTGAAGAAGAAAATATATTTTTATTAAATTAAAAAAAAAACCTTCAAGGGATTTGTTTAGTGCTGGAATGTAAGAAAAAATGGAGCAATGAGCTTAGTAAATCAAACTAATCAGTTCTTGCTACCAGTAAATTGGCTTACGTGCTCATATTTAGCATATTTACTAGCTATCTAACAGCTTTCAATCTAGACACAAGCATCACTTATGATAGAATAGCTACATTCTATCCTGGGTTTTTGTTTTCGCGAAACACTATGCTAATAGACATATTACGAATTGTTTCTTCACATCAGGCAAATATTGTTTGTATAAAATAAATCACTTTTAAAAATTCACATCCATTTGTGTTTTGTTTTTTTATGTTTCCATAAAATTTATAAAATTCCCTTTATTGTGGATATATGAATATTTATATTTAAGCTCTAATACTTGTCAATATATACATATATATCTTTTCCGTCCTGCTGACTGATGCTACTCTATTTCTTGATAAAATTACATAAACTAAGCATGAGTTTCTGAATCATAAGTTCTTGATTTGCCGTAGCAAAAACTCAGTCTACCAACATTATTTAACGTGTGGTATTTGTAAATTTTAGAGCAGTGCAAGATACTGAGTTCAATTATAGTCATAGTCACTATATTCATAGTTTGGCGGAGACAATATTGGAAGCCAATCGAGCATATTCGAACAAAAAATAAAGCATATTTGAAGGAATTTATAAACGACTTATGAATAAAAAGGCAATTTCACACATTAAGTGTAAGGGTTCGATATCCTTTTTAAACATATCCTCCTATTCCGCATACAATTGATACTGCGCAGATAAAAACATATATATAATGCGTAAAACGAACATGTTCTGCAAAGGCTTGAACATATTCACGGGGTTCCAGATTTGTAATGCATAAATCGAAGCTGCCAATTTGCCGGATTTTTAATCCGTCAGACTATGAATATAGTGCCTATTAGTTCAATCCGTGCTATTTTAAAATCAAATCATTGCTGAGTTGATATCTATCTTACTGACATTAAATGGCCGTCTTAGGATTTTAAGTACAGTACAGGATTTATGAAACCTGTAAATTGTGTGGTTAAGCAATAGATTATGGTTTGTGCAGTTTGACATTAGATACTTGATATCTTTATTCAACCATTTGACTTCATCAGTCATCCGTTTTGCAATTATAAACTTTTATTAAAAATAACTTCTTCGTAACAATAATAGTTTGATCTATAATGATATTTGGCTACTATAAAAACTGCACTGATTGAAACCTTGGCTGGAAAGTTTCAATCTGGGTGGATAAAAAAATCGTGATAATAATAATTCCCTGTATAAAAAAAAATTCAACAATGTGTATGCATAACACCAAACAAGAGTCACGATGCAGTTATAACTTTTTATCTCAACACATGCCACATGGCAATTGGTTTGCGATTGTTCTGCATCATATCCTGCCAGTGCTGTGAGCCAGTACCTCCTTCCTGTAATCCAATTGCACAACCAGGTTCACGGAGTTCTCCTTCGTTGGACGTCACAAACAGTTCTATTCCTGCGTCCTGCATTTGTGATGCTGGTAGATCAAAGGTAAATGCCTCGTTCCAAATGGGATTTGCTGGGTCCGTTGCTCGAATAGCACTAGTCTTACGTTTTTTTGCACGCTTGTCGTTGACTATCAAATAAAGCTACAAATGAAAACGGTAAATATTGGTCTACAACATTATATTAGCATCGAGACCTACCTTCACGAACGGTTCATGCACAACATTCAGATTCTTTGCTTTCATAACTACGACCGTAAGTCGTTCTGCCTGTGGTAAATAGCTTAATGAAATCAATAATTCCGCTGAATTTTCCATTGGCTTCCTAACTGCAATTAAGTCTCCCCAAATTTCACAGCCAGACAGATCCAACGTATTGAGAAGAAATCGAATCTCGCCAATGACCTCGTCATGGGAAAAACGGTCGTAGTCCAGTAGCTGAAATAAATTAGATACATATACAATCGCTGAACTGATATGTTGGTACTGTGAGTTTTGTTTGTTTGTTTGTTTTTTTAACATCTGCATCTTGCGAGTATTTTCTCGATTTCATCAGTAGGTACCACGTGGTGATAATATTACTATTCAGCTGACCATACCTTCCCGGTTTCTTGACTTCCCTGGACAATTGCCAACTGTTGAGGCGGTGGGTAGGCATTAGACTGGCCCTAAAAAATAAAAGTTCTAACTTTCCACGGGCCAACCCCTAGATGTGTTCCTTTAGATGAGAAAACCATTATCCGAAAGTTTCAGCTCATTTGGTTCTAAGATGAACTGGCGCTTTTAAAGATTGTACTCGAAAAAAATGCAACACTTTATTGTGTGTATAACTTTTTATTGTATGGGTAAAAATTGATGAAAATTTGAGTAAAAATAGTTTAAAGTGTTTACATGTGCAAAATCTCGTCACATTTTGTCAAGTGGTTATTGAGATGGGAGCGGTCGTGGAAAATCCAGGCCAGTCCTACAGGTGGCTCGCAAAACAGTTTGGAATCGACAATTCGACCGTGTCCCGTGTGGTAAAATCGTTCAAAGAGACCCAGACGATCCAGCGGCGAGCTGGAAGCGGAAAAAAAGCGAAGACAACCAACCGACACAAGGAAGGTGAGGGATTACTTCAAGCGCAATCCGAACCTTTCGATTCGGGACGTGGGCAAGAAGGTCAATTCTTCCATCTGGTTCGTCCAGCAGACAACCGATAAACTGAATACGGTGGCCAAATCCCGCGCCAGGAAGTTGTACCGCGAGTGATTGGTGCAGCCGAAATGCAACGTAATGGACGACGAGACGTGCATTAAAGCGGACGCCAAGCATATCCCAGCACAGCAAAAAATAAATTTTAATATTACATCCAAGAGGATGCACTTCAATCATGTCGAAAATCTCATGTAATTTTAATGGCCACAACAATAAACAAATGCAGTAAAAGCAGCGTAATGTCAGTTCATGCACTCTATTAATGGTAATTTTGTCCTTTTTGGCAAGTAATATTACACCATATTTTCAACAAGATTGAAGTACATCCAGTTTGATGTGATATTAAAAATATTTTTGCTGTTCGGCCTGGAGCTTTTCGTCGGCAAGTCCCGCCTAGATGTTCCGGAGATGTTCCGGAGATGTTCTGGAAGAAGAAGGTCGACAAATTTGCCAAGAAGTACTTAGTGTGGTATATGCGTGGCAATCTGTGGGTGCAGAAAATTCAGGAAGCCGTACATAACGACCGGCACTATCAACGGCCAAATATACAAAGAAGAATGCCTCCACAAACGCCTGCTGTCCTTCCTCCGGTCCCACGACACTCTGTTTAGGCCGGATCTGGCATCGTGCCATTACGCGAAACCGGTGGTACGAAGCCATGTTGTTTTTGTGCCGAAGGAGCAAATTCACCAAACTCACCAGAATTTCGCCCAATAGAAAAATTCTGGGCGATTATGAAGGGCAAGCTCCGGAAAACAGGGAAGGTCTTGAAAAACGACAAGGATTTTGAAGAAAGAGTGGATTAAAGTGTATAAGAAAAATGGCGCAAGTTTCACAGGATTTGATGAGTAGCGTTAAGTCCAAGGTGCGGGCATTAAGCCTAGGAGAGGTGGTTGAATAAATCAGCTTTGCAAAAACATATCTTATATATGTTTATTTATTCCCGGAGAGTTTCAAAAATATATGACTTTTGTTTAAAATGGATAACACTGAGATGTTTGTGGATTTTCTAGACTCGAGTGACGACAAGTTTGATGAACTGGTTTTTTTTCCTACAGTTAATGTCTCATTCAACGGTGACTGCAGAATCACGAATAAAATTTGAAGGATCTTGTCCAGGAATACGACCAAACGTGAGGATTGACAAACCTACACAAATACAAGGCACCAATCCGCCCATTGGCGTACGGATCTCCTTCAGATGATACGGTCGGATAGGAGAGTTGGCTGCACGAAAATGTCTTCGGGAATTCTGCCCGCGAGATATCATCTTTAGTGAGATATATCTGCGCTTTCCAACTCGTGAGAATCTTCAGAGACTGTTGCGAATCGGAGATAAACTGAACTGAAGAAACTTTGCTGAAGTTTTTGAAACTGCGCTTACGTTTTTGGTGCTTCGCTGAAATTATTGAAACTTTTGTGAAGTTTTTGAAGCTTCGATTAAGTTTTTGGTACATTGTTCAAATTTTTGAAACTTTGCTGAAGCTTTTGTAACTCCGATGATCTCTGAATATCTTCGTTTACCGAAATTCCCGAAACTTTACTTACGTTTTTCGAACTTCGTGAACATTTTTGAAATTTATTAGGCAATCGTTGAACATATCGAAGCTTATCTCATGAGCCGGAACACCTCCCTATACTACTCCAAAGTTCTCGGCATTTCTCCGAAGTTCTGAATTTTTTTTTCGAAGTTCTCGGAATTTTTCTGGGGGCTTACCTCAAGTCTCTCTTGGATTTTTGCTAAATTTATACATTGAAGATGTGTACGTGAACTCTGCTGCTATATTTGGAACTTCCCCTAATAATTTTAAACTTCACTGAAGTTCTCGAAACCTCTTCGAAAATCTTGGAAAAGTTCCGATCATTTTGGATAATTTCACATGATTAGCTCTGGGAACTACGTCAAAGGAACAAAAAAGCGAAATTCCAAAATCGTCAACAATGCTCCATAGATTTCATCAAAGTCATCGACTCCTAAAACTTCAGAAGTTATAAAAATGTCAGATAACTAACCAAGTTCGTATATCGTCACCAAAGTTCAAATATTTTAAGCAAAGCTCCAAGAAATGTAATGAAATGCGAAGAACTCAATACTTCAGCAAAGTTCCGAAAATCTCAGCAAAGTAAATAAAATAAGTGAAGCTGCAAACATTCTAATAATATGGGATAAGCTCTCAGAACTTCGGGTACATTCCGAAAATTTTAAAGATGTTCAATTACTTGTGATAAGCACCAAGAAATTCAGCTGAGCTTCAAGAGTGTTATCAAAGATACAAGAGCGTCAACAAAGTTCCAAAAACTTCAACAAAGATTCAAATTTGTCTGCAAAGATCCAATAATTTCATAAATGTTTAAAATTAAAAAAAAAATCAAAAACTTCTACAAAGTTATAGGTAGGGTCCAGGTGTGGGAGCTGCCTCCCTGGCGTCGGTAGCATTGGTGCTCAGCACGGAAAACAAGATCAAGGAAAAAGGACACGTTCCATATTTTACCAGGAAATGACCAAAGTATCAAACCAAAACCTATCATGTGTCATATCAAATTAGAAAGAAATTCAAATTGGTCATATTGCTTGATCAATATCTTTGCAAAGATCGAGAATTCATCCAAACAATCTTAGAAATGATTTCGATACTGTTCAGAAACGATGCGATGGTGTTTTTGGTAGCAAATTCTAAATAATATTGTCTATAACGTATCACATACATCAACACAATATTTTTGATTCATTTATGTTACCTTACTTGAGTTCAAATTGGAAATGCGATATTTTTACGGTTACCAAAGTCATATATCGATTCACGCCGCCGCCTCCGCCACCGACCAAAGTCAACGGCGACACGCCGCAACGCCGCCGCCACCGATCAAATGAGTGGCTCACAGGTCTAGTAGATATTATAGGATTTTTTTCCTGCTTCTAGATTGAAAATGCAAGTTTTCTCAATATATCTTACCTGCAAAATAAAGTTGATCCTAACCAGATTCCTAGGCTTCAAGGGAAACGAGAAGTGTTGGTCAAAAAATGGGTGAGTCTCTGCACGATGAATAGCAGTCTGCAGCGTTCGATGTTCTTCATCACTATCCAAGAACATCCTCACGTAGGGATCTCGAAAGCCATTCTCCGTAGGTGGTGTCAATTCCTGAGCTGTAAAACGAATCAATAACGAACAAATTAAAACCCATCTGATGATCACAGGGCACACATTACCTTCTACCAGATGGACAAGCAATTCCTCTTGGTTACCATCATATTTCAATCTCAAATTAAACCTTCCCATCACGGTGTTGATGTCATTAGCGGCCATTATTATCGGTACACGCCTTCTTGGAGATCGGCTGCTATCCGACCGTATTGATCCACTGGGACTGTCTGGAGTAATGAACTCTCCTGGGCGGGGTAATGTTGCACTAGAAACAGTGCTGTTTCTTTTCTTCGAAACATTTATATCCCTGGGATTAACGCTTACCACCGAAGTCAAACTGCCTTGAGATGCTTTCGGAGATCGACTTTCGTAATCCTGACCTAACGGAAGCTTCCCCTCTAAACTGTAGGTCCTCATTCGATTGGGTGATCGAGATTTCTGAGGGGATAAGCATTACAGTCGGTGTGTAATCTCCGTTTGACACAAAGTAGATAATTAATTACCTGTATAACAAAGTTGTCCGAAATTGTTGACCTAGTTTCAGGATTTGCGTTTGACGTAAATTTGGATGATGCTTCACGACAACTCTGTGGGATATTTCATTACTTAATGGCAGGGAAAAAAGACAAACGTGCAAAAAAATACATACCGAGACTCGCGAGTGTACACTTTCCAAGCTGTTATTCCTGGAAGCCGATGTGGATGGCTTCTGCTGTCCGGAGTACGTCTTTTTCTGGTCCATGCTGGGTTGTAATGGACTGGAACTTACATCCACTGGGCCGGCTTTGCTTTTCCCTTCCAACATATGCGGTGAAATGTTACATGCTGGTTGTACCGGATGGGAGCCACTAATAACGCTACATTCCTGCCGAGAAGGAGACACCACGGAAGAATTACAATTGCAAATCAAATCCCGGATAGTGAAATTATCATACCTGCAGATTAATTTTTCTCGCTGCCTTCTTTTCCTCCAACCGATCCAGCTCAGCCCACTCCTTTCCTTTACGCCGCACGACGTAATACCGGTACATCACAATCGTCACTGCAACCAGCAGAGCGAGTCCCGTCCCAGCAGCTGCTCCCAGCACTGCCGAACTCACAAAGACCATTGTTGGTTGTCTGAAGCAAAAGTTCATTCCATTATTATGTTGATGCAATGGTTTCAGTAAAATTTTATAAAACACTGGTGTTTACAAGTATAAACTATTAGTTATATAGATTACGAGCCTCGTTCGAGAAGCCATCCACAACCAGTTAAATGATTCTTCGAGGATACCATAATTCAAATATGTATGTTGCAGCACTTTCATTTCCATCCTGCATGCTTGATTTGTTCAGCCGACGCTTTTTCATCTGTATACGTTCCGTGAAAATTTCAAGATTCCAGTGAAATGTAGCAATATCATTTATATTTATTTATGTCTAAAATTCTTTCGTTATGTTGTAGTATTCCTCCAGTTATGTGTACATACCTAAATGTTACACCGTTTGAAAAAATCATGAAAATTTCTGCGAAATTTTCCGCAATTTCATTGTTTATGCCAACTTTAGCTCAAAATTAAAGGAACAGAAATTTAACGTGATGGTTAAAATTCCAAATTTTTGTCTTGTGTATGAATTTCTGAGAAACGTGAAAATTGTGCTATTTGTAATGCATCAGTGGTACTGTTGCTAATACTAGGAAAGCATTTACTGTTATGCAATCAAGATGTGTATTGTGAGATTTGTTTACGCGTATAGCTAATCCGTGCATTACTGCGAACAGTAATGAGATCCCTTCAATACCAATTTACTAGAGCAGGAATGTGTTCGCCGTACGTCGTTGTTTTCGTCTTGGCATGTGTACAGCAATAAAAGTATTAACGTGAAAAATGCTCTTCATATGTCTGAACATGGAACTTTTATAGCGAATTCATTTATTATTCAGTTCCAACCTGGATCGGGTATCAAGTTGGGTCGGCTTGTTTTCTTGTACAAACTTCAAACCATTTGCGGGACCTCTAAACCTTCATCAAGGTTTACCATTTTATGCACATGCTCATATTTTAGGGTTATGAGTCAAAATGGAGGGTTGCCAATACTTTTGACTTAGGACTACAGTTTTCTGTACTATACTAGGGGTCACATAACGAAATCTAAAAAAGGCATGTAACGAATTTGGGGATGTTTTTAAACGCATATTTCTCAAAACCATTAATGGGAATTATGTCATGCAATATGTCAACCGACGGATAATTTATCCAGCATTTTTGTGTATAGTAAAAAACGTGCAAATAGTTAAACAATTTAGAAATTTAACGAACAAAATTGGAATATTCTGTGGACTAGTCAGAAAAGCGGACAAATGGGATAGACCAATATTCTCTCGCACGGTGAAAATTCGATATCATTTTGGAATCCAAGCTGGCAGCCATCGGTTTAAAAAAAATCAATTTTTTAACAAGAATTATTTCGGCGTGATGTTTTCGCGCAGCTTTTTAACGCGGATTTTTCTTTTTATTAAATCTGTTAATTTTAACGCAAATTTTTCAATTAGAGGCTATCCATGTTCGCTTCAGGATGTTGGCGAATGACCTCGGTCATTACAAATTATCAGATGTTATATCGACAGCCTCTTAACGCAGTTCTCATACACGGTTTTTTGACGATCTGGTTTATTTTGCACAGATTTTCAAAGTATTGCTTTTAATTAATCAACTTAGCTTTTAACATTGATTATTATAATAAATTTTCTAACTAATATATTTTGTAATACTGAATTGAAAAACCTTTGAAACAAGAGTATTCATTTAGAACATTGAAGTATTAGAGAAATAATGTCTACTACAAAGTTGATCCCTAATGTTTGGCTCTCATTTTGGTTTCAATGAATACTAGGATGGTCCTTATTATAATTGAAATAAAAAAAATCAACCTACACTTAGGTAAACATTGTTCGGCAAACATGTTGCTCAGCTAATTTTAGGCATCTTTATTAAAAAAAAAGCTTTATTTATAAAAGTTTGAAGTTATAAACTTTAAGCATGATATATTGAAACAAATGAGATAATATACCACAGTCTCTATTAGTGAAAACTCCATAGGCTGCGGATATCCTTATTCGCGGTTCCTTATTCACGCCCCCATTATCCTGGCAATAAGGATTCCTGACTGTATTCGTGTTTTAGATGTACACGATTCATCACTTACTTCTATTATCACCGCATACTGGAGATAGTAAGACGAATTGGTCTGAAAAATAATGATCTACATATCTCGCAGAAAAAATGCTTATTTTCCCTTTTTTTAACCGTAGAGTAGTTTATCTCTAGCTATAAATAGCGTTTTTCAGTGTCTTTTATTTATAAAATTACGTTCAATAAAAATGTTTTTATATTATTCAGAAAATTGTTTGTCATGTAATATATAAAAAAAATCAAAGAAACAGCATCAATGCGCTGAAAACATTTTATTCTACAAGTAGAATTCAAAGTTTAGGGTTGTGAAAATTTTAATTATGATTCGGTGCTAGACACAAAAAGTTGTTAAACATTTTTCTGCTGACTAATATAATGTTCAAGGTAGTAAAAACGTAGGACCTGCCCTCAAAAATATATTTGTTGGTCAAACTCATATAAATTTCACTTTAAGTTTACCACACGCAGACCAAAAAAATGTGTTATTGAACATTAGTTGCATTTCCTATCATCCTCCGTAGCGAATAGTATAAGTTGACCTTGCAGACTATGCAATGATTTATCTTTTTTATGCGTGTTCTGAGGCTTTCGACTAGCAAGTATGCATATATTATTGAAGAACAACGCACACACTTGCCACGATTCTCTCCAGTTCCCGTCCATCAGAAAAAGCATACGAAATCGGGTATGAGAGGAAATGAGCGCTTCTTATTTGCTTTTAGCCTATTCATATTCCGGTGCATAGAGAGATGCAGTGGAGAAAGCGCAGGTCTGATAATCGCAACTTTCGAGTCCAGTCAGCAACCTTTTACATTTTTTTCGACATGGTTCATTTCACTCACTAATACACTCCACATTTTTCTCTCTCCATTTTCTTGCATATCTTATCCTCCGTTCATACGGTCTCCACTAATATCCGGTGGTGATGAATCCCTCATTGTTTTTGGCAAATTTTACATCCCCTGGTTGTGTGCATATATCTAGACGAAAGATTATGGTAACTTGCCCGAATCAAAATCTTCTTAGTGTTTAGAGATCAATTATAATATTATCGTTAAAAATCTTACAAATCTTGAAATTGTCAGGTACACGCTAACCTTGCTTAACGGTTTTGCTCTTATTGTTGGTATCCATTCCATTTCGTATTTCAGCCTTTTTCACACAAACGACCACCATTTGAAATATAGAAAGAATTTTAACTTTATAGATTCTGAACAACTAAAAGAACTAACAATTGACCAATCGACCAAGCACGGTCCTACGTCAACCTTCCGTTTGTGCTCCTACTATTTTTCAAAACGAAGCACCCTACTCTACATTTCATAAGCTATGCTACCAGCATCTCCTGCTCTCGGCCATTTAACATCGGCTTACCATGGAAGTGTGAAAGCATCTCGTGATTACCAGAACTGTTAGTTTAATTGATGAATTTACGCGAAACTGCATCAGTGCATACGACCCCTAGGTTTGGATCCCAAAACCATAAAAGTGATGATGTACTAAAAAATATTCCATACGATTTGACAGGTAGCAAAACGTCATTATCATTTTCACATAATTTCCATCTGCTGGTCGACCGTAACGTAAATTCATCAATCCTCAGATCAGATTGTTGGCTTAACATTTTTAGCTCAATTTACATTAAGTTTTTAGACTTTATGATCACCACTATAGATGATACACATATAATAGATATGTGGATGTCAGCTGATGTATCAAAACGAACCGTCAAATCGTATGGCACACTGAAATTTTGCTTAGTGATTAGTGATTAAACTGCTCTTCTACCCTAGAAAGGCAATCTCATGATTCTTGGAAAATGTAATTAATTCGCACACCATTCCTTCGAATTGAATTTATCCATCCCATGTAACTTGTTCACAATTCGATCAAAATTTGTTCATGTAGCATGAGAGCCAAGTTCCGCTTAAAGGAAACTTTCTGCAAATTAACAAACTTTGATAATTTATGAACGAATCGTGCAAAAGTTTGCAAAAGGACACAATGTCAACCCTTGAACGAATCAGACAAACAAGTCGCATTTATCACCAGTGAATCTCTGTACTAGGAAATTAGGTAGCCTGTGAGGATGTAATGAAGTGAAGTGAACAGTGGAAAGATAAGGGGCTATTCCTTAACTACGTAGACAGTTTTTTGGGATCCGCCCCCCTCACTCTGCGTAGACAATTGTCCCTACAGAATTTTTAAATTTGTATGGGCCATGGATAATTTACAAATCCCAACCATCTCCCCGCTCCCACCCCTATACTGTCTACGTAGAACAGCCCCCAAGCAAACCTAAATGTAGTGTAAGGAAGAGTTCCAATCCCGTCACGTCCCAAATTAAAGCCAAGATAATCACCATATTAAATCGTTGAGATTTCAGACAGAAAACAATTCAAAGTATTCCTCCTCCAATCGATAAAATGAAACCAAACATTGCATGAGTATGAGCATGATTGACTGCCTGCACAACCCCCTAATGACCGCTAAAAGATTATCTTCCAGCTAAGTGGATCACTCTTAATAACGTTTTTAGAGTAAGTTTAAGAATGCCAATAAAGCTGGTTTAAAGCACTGTAGAAGAAATCTCCATACTCTTAAAGAGTTTATCATAACCAATTTAAGAGTATTAATAAATTAATGCAGTAATGCTGAAAATCAGTTATAAATTCAATTTGACTTTTCATTGCTTGACAGCACCCAAAATGAATCAGTTTGTTTTTTTTTTACACTTTATTCGTTCCAAAGTTAAAATAAATTACATCTCATTTTAAACTAGGTGCTCCAGCTACTACAGTAACTTACCAACCTAAAATAAATTAGCTTGTTGTTGTTCTGTTCTACAAAGACTATAGCAGCGAGATCGTCGTGTAATCGATTTTGTTTGATGGCGGTATTTGTAAAAGATCTAAAATTAAAAGTGATTGTTTGGCTTTTTAA